CACACGCGCACTCGCGCACACGCGCACACGCGCACCCACACCCACACCCACACCCACACCCACACCCACACCCACACCCACACACACACACACACACACACACACACACACACACACACCTACGTCGACTTACGTTGCAGGATAGCAGCCAAATGCTGCAACGCACATATCAATCTTATGTACAGTTGCCAGACATGTCCTGCCATCTCGGAGCCGAGCCTGCTTTATTCTCCGAAACTTTACCCGAACCTTCTGCCATCCTCCCTCCGTAGAGTTTTCTTTTGCAGGCTGCCAACTAGTTCTTATTTCACCGTCTGTGCTAGATGGAGTTTTTCTTGTCTCGCGACGCCACAGTCGCTGTCTGTTGTTCTGGAATCACAGTCTCTTAATCTTGCAGCACGAACCTGAGTGGCCGTCCGTTAGCTGACGGGCTTTCGAAGTGCAGGCTTGTCTGGGTCATTTCCATGCATGTGCAGAGTGCCCATCGAGCCATTGATCAGGCACCGTGTTTTGATAAACGCTGTGTGATCTCCGCAGATCAGCAAACCTTGGAGACAGGGTGTTTGTCTATATAAGGTTCCAGTACGCACCCTTCAACCTTTAACCTGTGCCGAAGCAGTTCAATCTTCCAAACTTGGCACATGGAGGTTGCATGCCTCAGTCCTCTCCGAGCTGAACCATGCTCCGATGCTCAGGCTTTGTTGCGCTTCATTCCAGGGTTCCATGCCCGGCAGAATTCCGCGAGAGATTCCGCTTGTTGGCAGGTTGTGGGGTGGAAGCAACCAGGCTTTCCTCGTCACAGTTTTCTCTCAAGCGACTTAGAAGTGCAGCGGTCGGCGTGTTTTGTATGGCAGGTGAATGTGTGTATGGTCGGGAGATCACTGCGGGCTGGTTGGAGATGGCCAGTAACATGGGATGGAAAGCTTCTGAGTGAAGCGTTCCCCCAGTCGCGCGCGCTCTCGCATGTCGCTGCATGCAGACTTTGTCTCCAAATCTCAGGATAGAGATGTGTGCCCTCCGAGACAGGCGCTCTTCACTCCGGCATCTGGACTATCTGAGATTTTGCGCGGTTTCTCACGTTCGCGTTTGACAACGCTCATTAGGGAAGGACTCTTTCTGAGGTGCCAGCCGCAAGGAGACCCAATGGGCGGGCGAGCCTCTGCGCCAAACTCAGCATCGTTGGACTGCCGAGCTTCATCATGCAGACATACTATACACATAATGACGCATAATATACAGTCCCAGCTTTGCTTTACACGCCCAGCCAGGCAGCTGCAATGGCGCAGATAAGCTCTTGGTTGTTGCGTTTTCCGATTTCTGTTCTGCATTTGGCCAAAGTGGGTCGGAAATCCAGCCAGATGTGTCTCCAACTTAGCCACAATTTACAACGCGATGAGATTTCGGCGAGGCAAGCTGCCGAGGCCACAAGGGCATGGAGTACTCACGCGACTGCGTGTTTGTCCTTAGTGGGCTGTATTGGAAAATTGCTGATTTTGCGACCGCTCGCCTTGCTTCAAGAGCTTCTGAAAAACAAGGTTGTGCATACAAACACACCTACTCACGCATTGCGCTCAGCCACAGGTAACGGCCCGGAATGGCGAGATAGGCTAAACAGCAACACATCGAGTAGCTTGCGCTCTTAGGCTGCTCCTGTTTGCTGGTAGAACTTGTTGGTATGTATTTGAAGCGCCAAGTGTTGAGCTTTCTTGCTCCGTTAAGAGTCTTCCGCATACTGGAGTGCTGCCACAGGTATGCATTGACAGCTGTGAGTGTGTTGCATAGCTCTGGCTGCCCTAGAACATGTTGGAAGACAAATCTAAGGTGGGCAGTGTCGCTGGCTCACCCCTGCGCCACAAAGGTTCTGAAGCTCACGGCGGGCACTTCAGTCAGATTCCCCGCAGTGAACAGATGTGAACATTATGCCGTGGTTGCTATAGGACAGTAGTTGCATGGGTAGTGTGTGGCAGTGTTGTCATGTGTTTTCGGTCTTCCACTTCTTGGGTGTTGAAAGTCATTCTGTTGACTTGGTCGTGTGCTGGCCATTTCGAGTGCACACGATCCATGGCTCTCTGATGACAGGTCGATCTGAATGCTCCCATGTGCCCTTTGGATCTTAATGCTTGGGCCCGGCAGTGCATAAATTATGTAGTTAGCGTTAGGGGACGCTACTGACAGGAACCAGCCGAGTGCGCTCGGACACTTCTGAAACAAAACACAGACAGTCCTTCCTGGACTGAGTCCTTGGAAAGGGGAGGGGGAGAAGCATGGGGCTTCACTTTCTTTTTTTAGGGCTGGCGGACAAAATCACTTTCCCACGAATTCTCACACGGCCTGGAAAAGAACACTCACCTTTCTGCCGATGTCTTCAGTCGACAGTGCTTGCGATGCAACATCTCATCACATGGTGCTCGAGCCACACGGCCGTTACCACGTAAGCACATATCTATAACCCTGCTTTTTTTGGAATTCCTATGTATAACCCCGCTGTTTTTTTGGAATTCAAGTCCTTTATGCTAGCTGCAGCGGCAGTGCACTTGAAAAAGGCCCCCGAGTCATTGCATTGAATGTCCTCTTCCCGCCTTCCCTGCGGTGAGTTATTTGAATTTACGCCTCATGTTGCCTGTTGGTCTGCTTGTCCGTCTACATGTCCGTTTGTGCCCTTGTCCTGCCCCGAGCAGCTTGTGTCGGCAAATGCCGGCGACTGCCAGCAATTTGGCAGCCGTCTGTCGCAAAAAGCCAGGCCTCGAGTCACAGGCGGACACAGCAGTAGTCAAAAACAAGGCGGCTCGAATCAGAAAGCGACAGACTGCACTTGGAAGACAAAAAAATGAGGTCGCTGCCTTCGAAGGCGACATGAGGGGTTATATGTGTCGTTTTCTTCGAGGGATCGTGCACTTTGGGCTGTATGTTCTTCCGGATTTACCCTCATCGAGTATCGTTTGTTTTTGTTTGAGTGCTTCCATAATTTAGAATGATGGGTGCAACCTCGTAAAAAACGAGGCCGCGCGCGGTCGCACCCACACTTGAAGTCGAAGGAGGCGACATAGCGGTTATGTCGTTTGCTACGAGGGACCGCGCACTTTGGGGTTGATCTGCGCTTCCCGATTTGGCAACCCTGATCGAATATCATTGGGTTTGAATGCTTCCACAACAAATTAACAAATTATGGGTGCGACCCGTTACGACAGCGTAAAAAGCGAGGTCGCGCCCGGCATATGGATGTAGATGTGAAGGCTGGTTGATGAATGCTTGCATGCATGTATGGATGAGTGGGTGGATGGTTGGATGGATGGTCGTACCGACAGATATACAGGTTTGTGGCTGGATGTACGGATGTATTGAGTGATGGATGGAGTGATGCAATGATTGGATGGATGGGTGGATGTCAGGGGCAACCTTTTGATGTTTTGCAGTGTCGGGCAGGGATGCCTCCGACAGTGGCTTTGAGCTTTTCTCATTGCGGCTGTAGTGTTGACGACTTGTGTCCGGCTTGTTTGCTGACCCTGCCCCCGTTATTTTTGATTCTTTTCGTTTTGCTTGCTCGGGCCGTGCCCGTGCTTTTGCATCTTTGTTCGGCTTGAGCAGGTAGCTTCTTCATCGGGCTTTACACCCTTCCAAGGTGTGGACTGCAAGCCATGTGCCTTCTTCCATTCGCGTCAAGGATGTAAGAAGGGCCAGGACAGGTTACAGTGCCAAAGCATTTGGAAAAGAAAGCTGTGGTAGACTAGAGCCTTGGCAGGATTGTCGTTTTTGCCATGCATGCGACCCTGCAGCTCGAAAGAGAGCATGAACCTCAGGCTTTAGTTCGGAGACGAGTCCATGAGAATTTTGCGAGCTATCCGCACGGGACAGTTTGACACAGAAGCTTGTTCAAGCGAGACAGGTTCTGCATGATCATGAGAGGCCAAAAAGGATGCTGTTCAAAGTCTGCCTCCACTGCAGGCAAGGAACCCAGAGCTGTGTCCTCCTTCGCTGGAGCTGCCAACATTCAACAGTCCATCTGAGTAAGCTGGTATGCTTCAGGTTGCGCGCAAATGCTTTGTGCAGGTTGGGAGGTCGCTGCCCACTCGGCCTACTCACCGAAGCAGCCGAAGGGCTTGATAGGTCTCTGCAGAATTCACGAGTTGCACCAAAATCAGTGATTCAACTTGAGTTGTGCATATATCGATGCTCCCTAGCCATCACTTTTACATTTACACCCAGGGTGCAATGCACGATCTGAGGTAGATGCTGGTAGACGCTAGCATGCCTCGTGTGGTGACGATAGCTGCTGCCTCTCGGCGGAGCGTCACTCAAGTCTCACGCCTACTCAACCGTGCCAGGGGGCACATCAGGGGGACAAGAACGAGAGTAGCTCATGGCCAGCATGGTGGAGATCCAAGCGTGCGTTGGTGCCGGCAATTGTGTCCGACCTTGGAAGGCATGACCACGGCTCGGCTCCTCCGTTGCAGACGCCCAAGCTTCTTGTTGAGAAAACCACACAGGATGGACGACTACATTGCATTTTAGCCTCGTGCCGCATTGCCTTACATTGGATGGGAAATTAGCTAACATCTAACATCGCTGGTTTTCAGCGCTTTCCTGGCCAAGAATTGATTTCCCCAGCGCGACCGCAGACGTGGGCGGAAAAAAGGGCTTCACAACGATAAAGCGACACACCGATACCCTGCACCGCCAGTGGGGGTTCAGCGTATCGGCGCACGCCGTTCTGCCGACCGGGATCGGATGGGGATCGAAGGCACCGATACACCAATGCCAATACCCCAAAGGGGGGTAGGAGGGGAGGGGCGGGTTCGGAGTACCGCCGTACCGCACACCGATACACTGCACGCACAACATGATCCCTTGGCAGCTTTGCAGAGCGTTGTATTTCATGTCATGTCCATGCAAGGAGCCGACGATCGAGATGCAGGCCTTTTGCAGCCGTCGGGATGTTGATTTTTTTGATCGCCACAACTCGCCCACAGCAGATCGATGGCACACGGCGAGCTCAGGCAGAGCAGCACTAGGATCGGGACTTGAGTTCGCAGTGTCAGCTCTGCAGCTCCGTAGCGCCAGGCGTGTGGTGGTAGATCGAAGTCGGCTGGGTCCGGGCTTCGTTCTATGCCAGGCCAGGGCCCACCTACGGTTGAGATGCAAGAACTGCCAGATCGCCAAAGCATGCTCATGCGTGAAAAGGGGCAAAAAGCAAAGACAAAAATCTATTGAAGAAACTAGCGGTGATTTTTGGAATGAGTTGGTTTTGGTGAAGGATTTGTCCTGCCGGAGGGAGCGGGTGCGTAACAGGCGTAACAGCGTAAAGAGCAACACAGTGAATGAATAAATATCTGTATATATATATATATAATTATAATATGTATATATATATATATATATAGAATATAATATATGTATACACACAATATATATATATATATGTATATATACATATCTATATCTATATCTATATCTATATCTATATCTATATCTATATCTATATCTATACCTATATCTATATCTATATCTATATCTAGATCTATCTATCTATCTATCTATCCATCTATCTATCTATCTATCTATCTATCTATATCTAACCGCGGTGGAATGTGGAATGGTGCAAGGTTTGCCCTGCTGTGCGTAACACGCGTGACAGCTTGACAGTAAAAAAGGAAAAACAGCGGTGGAATGTGGAATGCATTGCTGCTGGTGACTTGTCCGGCCGAAGGGAGGGGGTGCATAACAGGCGTGGCAGCGTAAACAATGATAACCTACATAAGCATGTATTGACAAAACATCCGTGGAATGCGCAGTGACTTTAAATGGTGCAACATTTGTCCTGCGGGAGAGGGGATACGTATCAGGCGTAACAGTGCAAAACATATGTCAACAAATAACTAGTATATTGAAAGCAGCGGTGGAATGTGGAATGAATTGTGATGAGGAATACGGGACATTGTATGGGGGAGAGTGATGATCAGCAGTTCATGTTGATTTAAAGTGCGTTGAAGACCTTACATGACAATTGTGATCATGATCATGACCTCATGCAAGGAATTGCAAGGATTGACGTAACCCGGACGTCATTAGCGACCCCCGGTGAGTGCCACACAAGTTTTCGATGCCGCGTTCGCGGTTGACTCGATCCTCACCCGGTCCACCGTCAAAACTCTAGCCGCCCTGGCATGTCTTTCAACTGTTCTGTTCGCAGGTGTCGGAGGCGCTCCGACCTGCGTCTCCATCGCTTTGGATGTCATCCAAAATTCTGCGGCCAGAGGTTTGGCGGCAAGAAGATTACGAATGAACCATCCTGGATCAAGTGTGTGGTTTATCCTCTTCTTACGAGGTTTCAGAGGCCTCATGCAGCAGGGTCTGGCAAGTGCGGCCCTGCAAGATTCATCTAGAGAGTGAATAGACGTATCCCCTTCGTACGGGACCCCGATTAAGGTACTAGTCACGAATCCGTGAGTTGACCTTCTGATTCCTGAGGTCTATTGGCTGAGATTCCACTCACGTGCATCAACGACAGTGGGCGAAATGCGGCAGCGGAATCTGCAGTTGACCTCGCATCCGCCCATCTTTTGCAGTCAAGCTCGCGTGGTCTGCATCTTTCTAGCACTTCGCAAGGGACGATGCCACTTATTTCAGGACTTGGGCGAGCTTCTTGTCCTGGCTCGCATGCAGTCGGACGGCTGGCGACCATTTAAGGCATTGAGATGTTTGCAAATTTTGTGAACCCGCTCAGAATACCGCAGCTTTAACAACGCTGACATGCGAGAAAAGTGTTCATGTTGACACTTGAAGGCCTGTGCTATGTGCCCATGATCCGCAGGAGGTTCCAGTCATGCCGATAATGACAAGGCATTTCAGAAATAGCACTCCTCTAGGTGTTGCCAATGCCCTTGCAGACCACGCACATCGCCCCCTGCCCCTACCCCTCTCCCAAGCCCCCCTCCTGCCACCCGCGCCCTTGCCTCCCCGCTGCCGCTGCACGCCTTCTGTCCGTTCCTCCGTTTGCGGTGTCCTTGGATGTTGGCTGTGATATGTTGTGATGAAAACTGATGATGCCCGCTCTGTGATTCCCTGCCGTTGCCGCTTGCTTCTGCTCCGCCCTCCAGCATCGTGTGGCTTTCGTTCCCCTGGCCCCGCCCCTCGAGCTTCGTGTTTACTGAGATGTGTAAGATTGTGTAAGCATGCCTGCATTGCATGCAGACTTGCCGACTCCGTATGTGTTCCGCAGCATACTTGTTCAAGTCTCATCAGCTTGCCTTCCGTCCCCGCGCTGGTAGCCTCACGCCGAGAGTTGCAGGGTATTGCAGGTCAGCTTTCACGGCATAAGTTGTAAGAGTTTTGTCTTGAGGCTCCATGACCTCGTTCTGGGCGGTGCAGGCTCTTGTCTCAGACATTGGCAGGGTCGTGGCTTTTGCCTCGCACCACAAGCAACGAGACTCTTGTGAGGGCTCATCCAGCCCCACACTCATGGGCTCATGGAGGCGTCGCCAGGCGCGCTAGGGGGCATGCATGGTGTCAGAGTCTACAAGATCCCCCAGCTCACGTTGCCACGAGTGCAGGATTTGCCCTTAGTCGCCCATGATGCGCGCAACTGCTCTCGTCTCTTTGGGCACCTATCGGAGGACCTATCGTCATCGACAGAACACATGTAAAGCCATCTGAAAGGACCGCGAACCACCGTAGCCCACTCCGGTCAACAGAGACATCATATCCTTTTTTATGAACGCGCTACATGCGCGGTTTCCTTCTCGCGCGTACAGTGGCCATGAGTGAGTGAATGTGTGTGTGTGTGTGTTCTGACGTCAATCCCTCTCCCACGTCGTTCCCTTCGAACTTCATGTTCAAGGCTCTTATTTTGAAACTCCCGAGGCCTTGTCTTCCAACCCTAAACCCTGAACCCCCTCGTCCCCATCCAGCCAGGATTGCGTGATGCCCTTCAAGACGTCTCCAGGCGTGATTACTGGATGAGGCCTTGCAGTCCGCCTACGACGTGACTCGGTCTCCCATGTGAGCCATGGCTGCTTGTCTGTCGTGCCAGGTCGTTCCGATGGCATTCAAGATCAGCCTCGGCCTTATTCCTTGTTCCAGCAAAGTAGCTGCGTGCCCTGTTTTGCTCTCTCTACCTGTGCGGTGTGCTGACTCAGGTTTCCTCCAGAAACCTTCGACGCAGCAGAGGCTGGACATGAGTTGCATTGCGGGCCTGCCGAGATGGGGGTTGAGACTTCGGGGGTTGAGGTGTCGCGATCGGTTTAATGCAGCAGCGGCACGCAGTCCATGACCACACCATGGCTTTCGTCTTTGTTATGTGCAGGTTGCGGCATGGATCACGGCGAGGCACAAGGCACGCTATGGCATGAAGAGTATATTTAGTCAGTGCTGTAAGTGGAAGTGAAATTAACTGAGCACAGACTCCCCGTAGGCTGTGATGGCAGGCCAGCTCGGAGCTTACAACAGTTGATTATTGCGATGCTGGTTTTGTCTTTGCATCGCTTCTCTGTGAGGTTCATTATGGCTCACATCGAAGAAGAAGTGCCAGCAGCAGGGCCCCCTGAAAAGAGTCTGTCGTGGCCAGTTCTCCGTAAGATTCCCTGATGGGCTGTCAGCTCCGCATGCTCGTGACGCGTCTCCGAGGACATCACGAGCGCCAGCCTCACCACGATGCTGCAGGCCCCACGCAGCATCGCCAGCTTGGGCCACGCCTAGCCGTCGGCATTCGGATCGGAGCAAGAATACTGCAGCAGGATGCGCTGCTGGCACTGGCGCACAAGGTGGAGGGACCTCTCCAGTCGAAACCCCAGCTATGCATGAACTGGCTGACATATCGCTGGCAGGGGCGACTTACACAGAAAACCCTTCACAGCCCCAGGAAGAAGGCGAAGAAAAAAAAGGAGACAAAGCTTCTGAAGGCAAGGCTTCAGGCCGGCGTAGGTTGCAGATGCAGTCGCCACGTCTGTACGTCGATGATCCGCGTTATCTCGCGCAGATGCTTCGCAGCCGAGGGATTTGGTGCAGCGCCTGCCTCTGATCTTGGAACAATGACTCAGCGACTACACTGTTGGAACCCATCAGGTCATGGCATGGCAACCAAGCTCCTCAGTGAGGCCCATTTCGTAAAGGCCTATTGAACTGTGCGAGGAGTGCACGTGCCAAAGAGCACTATGTCAGGCGTCAAGTCTGGGCAGCGATCTGAACAAGTAGCCGAGTAGACCCTTACTAGTTCCTTACGTGCAACATGTATCTAGGGCTTCAGTCCTTGCTAGTCTAACGGCTGCTTCTGCTCGAGGGAAGATGGTGCAATTTGAATGCTCATGCTTGCCTGGCAAGTCACGTATCTGTTCTTGTGCTGTGATCTGCTGTGTGGCGTTGGACGGCAGCTGCGCTTCCGGTGTTAGCACAGGGTTTCAAACTTCACCCGGAAACTTAGACTAGTCAGACAATCCACCTGAAGCCTCCCCGTCCTCCTGACGTCTGACGGTTTCTCAGACGCAAGCCCTGCAGCCCCATCATCTGTGAGAGATGTACCAACTTGAAAGCGTACAGAGTTCTGCCGAGCCCCGGAGCCAAAACAAGCCCGACTGTGTGCACACATCTAGGACGGTGAGCCCGTAAAACCCCATGCGCTCGCAGGCAATGTGCGAAAAGAAGCCCGCCATGCTGAAACTAAAGCCCAAACCGTCGTGCTTCTAGCACTTGAGTTGAGTTTCGGCACCTTTTTTTGCACTGCAGTAAAACAACGTTTTATGTACACTTGCGGTGCGATGAGTGATGCTGCAGGTGTCTGGGGATCGTCGAGTTGAGTGCATTCAGGTGTAGGGTAACATAGACGTGGAACTCATGCACAGTTTGCACGGGCACATTTGGCTGAAATGCTGCATGTCGCAGCGTGCCTCAAGTCGGTCTGTGCATTTCATGTTTACTTTTCCCGCTTTGTTTCCAGGGCACGGCTGCCTAAAGCTCAAGTCATAACCCTGGCAAGGAGGGGGGTTTTGGCACATTGTGAACCAATTCGCACCAGCCGCATTGATGCCCCTTTGTCACATTCGCAATAATTGTGTATCGAAGCGCGGGTGCAGAGATGCAACAACCAAGCATGGAAGATGGTGGTCAGCAGCCGAAGGACACTCCTCAGCATAGATGTTTGCTTTCATTTGCATGTTCAGCTTTCGGGGGCATCATGTCGAAAGCAGGGACCACCGAATCAGGGACCATCAGGGGTCACGAGTTGCTGTTCTGCCGTTGGTGTGCAACAGGTAGACGCCGGCGGTTCATCGCCTTCATCTGCCAGGTGGGGTCGATGGTACAGTATATAAGACAAGGCCCCCCCAAGTTGCCGACGCGTGCTGCTATGCCCAGTTCTGTGCAACCAGTGATGTTGCAATCATTTCAGCGCATCGAAAGTTGCAGAGGGCTTGAACCAAGCTGTCGCCATGCGGTGCTGTAAGAATCGTTCCAGCACGCCATTGGAGCGCTTTGCGGCATCATTGACGACGGGGGATGTAGACACACCGTGACCAGTGTCAGGCCACACGAACAACTTTTGGAGGAAGGTGCGTTGACGATCTTCAAAGAGCGCATGGGGCAAGCACTCTTCGTTTCACATCAGTGGGTCACCAAGTTACACCCAGACCCAGAGTTCAAGCAGTTCCGGGTATTGCAAGAGGCATTGCAGAACATCATGTCGGGTCTCAGCCAAGTTTCGACGGACATGATCACGGAGGCAATATTTGGGCTTTCCAAGGCGATTTCGGCCTCTGAATTGCAGCCGGGCAACATCTTCTTGTGGTACGACTATTTTTGCTGTCCACAGGACCCTGTCCTTACACTCCATTGTTCGGGACCACAAGGAGGAAATGCCATCGAGAGCAACCAGCAGCGAGCAATCAGCAGCATTCCGGCGTACATCTCCAAATGCAAGTTCTTCATGGCGCTTTGCCCGGTCGTTGAGAGCCCAGACGAGTCCCAAGTGTTCAGCCAATTCACATGGGCTGGCAGAGGATGGGGAGATGGGTTTACTGGTTTGAACAACACAGCAGGAAAGGAGTGTACCGGAGGGCGGGAAACAGCCGAGAAGAAGAAGAAGGAGAAACCAAGCCAGAAGAAACACAGCCCTGCCAAACGCCTAGCCAGCAAGCAAGCAACACAGAGACAGAGAGATAGCCCCGGAGAAGAAGAAGACAGCATGAGAGATGAAGGGACGTTGGCGCACGAGAGAGAGTGTTGAAATGAGACACGGAGACCAGGGCAGCACACGCCCTTGGATATGTAAGGGCAGAACCAAGAATCGATTCACATCGGCATGGACTGGACAGTCGGCAAGAGGAAACCCTATGAATCCCGGTTGTCACATCCCCAAACGCTCGGAAAGGCCTGCCTGGTGGTCATGTCTGAGGAGGAGACTGGGGGGAGACACAAAGGCTGAACACACGAACATGACTAGAAAGGGAATTAGCTCGAGTACCAAGCAGGGACGGGCCTGCCCAAACAAACCCACGTCACATGTGTGGCCTCGCGGATGTCCAAGATGCATGCAGCCGGTTTCCCTGACCCACCCGCGGTCTATAACCATTCTCCATATGATGCAATGCCGCCGTCCCGGCCATGTGCATGTTGGCATTAGTGCACTTCATTGATCGATGCTCGGCTCGAAACAACTCCGTGGATGGTTTCGCTTGCGCAAGAGCGGTAGCTTGGATCCGAACGAGAACATCGTCCGATCTATCCACTCGCCCCCAACCAATCCTTGTATAAATCCGATACATGCCTCGAAGAGCGTTCTTTGAGCAAGACGTGCTGAAGACGTGCACATTTTGGGGCAATCAACTTTTGGGGTTGCTCCTCATAATGGCTTTCACCCAGTTTTGACTTGTACTCCCCTGTTGGAGGATGGTGTCGCGTGGAAGAAGCAGTCCGGGTACTGTCGCGGCATGGTGGATCTTGGATATTGGTCAAGAGTGCCAAACACCAGGAGATCACAACGCCTTTGACAGTGGATTCACCAGGTGACGGCCAATTCAGTGTGGATCAGGACCGTGCTGCTGTTGCTCCTGTATTGAAGAGCGTTTTGAAGAGCAAGCTCCTCATGCATTTGGTGCAGGGTGACTTTGTCAACTACCGAATATTATTGAACCAGCAAAATGCTCGTCTACGGGGTCTTCCGACAGACAGCAACGATGATTTGGTGCCTGGGTTTGAGCCACCGTCCCATGCAGGCAAGGCTGAAACGGTTTTGGCCAAGTTTCTGTACCAGAACGGATTCAAAAATCCGCTTGAGCGTGACAAGGCCGGTTGGTCAACCCTGTGCTACGCAGCAGTGAGAGGTGATCCGGACTTGCTGCAAGCCTTGCTGAGCTGTCGTGCCAATCCCAACGACAAAATCACCAGAGCACAGCCCCAGCTTGGCATCGACAAGGGGACTCCGGTTCTAGGGTTGTGCGCGAAATTCAGAAACCATGAGTGCATGAACCTGTTGATAGCTGCTGGTGCAAGGATCAGTGTTCGGGGCATTCTCCAAACTGCGTTGAGCTGTGCCTGTTATGTGGATGATGCAGAAGCAGTGCACCGGCTCTGTGACTCAGGAGGTGATCCCAACGAAACGAATACGTTTGGGGTGTCTGCTTTGCGGCAGGCCTGTGTGACAGGGTCCCTTCATGCAATGGCGGCCCTGTTTGAGCATACGGACAAGTTGGACATGTCCCTGTCGCTGCACTGGGTTGCCATGGGACAGGGCGGATCTGCGAAGGCCATCGACATGTTAATCAATGCCCGGGCGGACGTAAACGAACGGTATCGACCAAACATGTTCAGCCCGTTCGGCATGCTTTGGCGGATCAAGGGGCTTCAACATAATCCCGGTGGAAGAACAACACAGCTTCGCATTGTTGGTTACCATCACTATGGAGCCACACCGCTCATGATAGCCATCATATGCGGAAACTACGAAGCGGCAGCAGCCCTCTTGGTGAGAGGAGCAAGGTTGGACTTGCGAAACTCCCGGAACAAAACCGCCGCAGATCTTGCTCGTGAGATGTCTTCGCCCGACTATTTGATGGCAGCTTTGCAGGGCCAGATGGCAAAATGCAATTCCGTAGTCGAACATGCGCAGGTGTGAACGCATAAGAACAGCCCGGAGCTCCCGGAGCTCTGTGTTTATGGTTCTATGCGCTGGAGGGGCCACTGGAATGCAACAGGCAGACTGAGCTGGCAGACCATCGGAGAGTCAGAGGATGTTTGGGTTTGGACTGTTGCGTTCTGCTGACCCACTCTGGATGAGTGCCAGCCTGGCAGCCTGGGCTGGCATGCGGCATACAGGCATAAGTGCGATGCCGAAGGCATCGTGCCAGATGTGCCAGCAGCCCCCCGTTTTGAATTACCAGTGCTGGCCCCAATGGGCAACTCATCCTTGAGCAGGGCCATCTGCAAGTTTTGTTGCCAATTAACTGCGGGCAGAGGCTTTTCAAGCAGCTTGTGCCCATCTGTTTTAAGCATGCCGGTAATGCCTCGCGTCGTGTTCTGTTTGGGACTCAGATATGTCTTGGAGATGAACATCCAAAGACGGTGCTGGAGCAAGCAGGACGCGCAAAAGCAGCCACCAGTATCGACCACTCCACAACTAGTAGTGAGTAATAATAATAAATGATCGCAGTAGTGGTAATCGTCGTCGTCGTCCTTAGACTGCTAGCCAAGTAGTGGCACGGCTTTTCTAGGCTATTCACGGCTGCAGTGGTGTACTGTTATGAGAGTGACTGCTATTTTACAGTCAGTATTGCTGTAAGGATCAGTCGAAATTAGCACTGATGCGGCTCGATGTCATGGTAGTCTTACAATGAGAACAGGAGGGATTGAAGTCGGCAGCTTCAGTGCCTCAGGAGCCTGCATGACGTGTACACTTGCTTCGTGCTCCTACCGGTAGGGAAAGTACGACTTTGCGGGCGTCGCAGCTTTCGGCGGTGCGAGCGGAAACGAACAGCGAGGATCGTACGAATTTCATGTTTTGAAGAATGTAGTGTTGACAGCACGAACCGGAGCAACGGTAACGGGAACTCCTATGTCCGAGTCCGAGTTGGGTTTGGACAGGCTAGGCCCCGACAAGGGCTACGATGGCTGCAGTCCGGCCTCTGTGAAGTTCACCCCTCAGAGCCTCAGGGAGCCGCGGAGAATCGGCCAGAGGCCTCGATGTCAAGAGTCTGGACAAGAAAAGACTTGATGAAAGCATTTAGGATGGCCGTGAATGTCTATGCATGACATTGACCGTTCCTGGGTTCTTTATCTCGATGGGGACAGTAGCTCCCAATGACTAGGATTTCGGTGCATTCTTTTGCAATGGACAGCTTTGGGCGGCGGTCATGCATGGCCGTGTGGGGCTGGCTGTCGCTGGCGGTGGGCCAGATTGAAGCAGCTTCTGCCATTCCAGTGGTGCATCGTAGCCAAGGGCCGGAAGCTGCGGGATCGATGCTCGCTTCCGTCGGAGCAGTGCTGATCAAAGGTCAGGTTCCAACATCCAAGGAGTTTGAGAATCTGGCGATGTCAGCTTGGCAGGCAGCTGGCCACCCTGGCCTAAAGCTTGGAAACTACAACAAGTTCGGCACCGTGAAAAGGCCAATGCTGAGCGAAGGAATCTACGATGTGGCAGCTGGTGCACCTGCGCATCTGCCAGTGTCACCACACAGTGAGCAGGCGTACCTGTACCAGGTTCCCCGCTTTTGCGGCTTTGTTTGCATGAGGGCTGCTGACACTGGTGGTGAGCTACAGCTGTTTGACAATGTGTTGCTTGGCACGGAACTGGGAAACCTGACCGACAAGCTGGCGAAGCTTGGATTGACATATTTCCGGGTGATGGGGGACCAGGTCCATTCAGCAAACTGGAGCTATGCGACTGGAATGTGGCAGGATAGGTTCGGGACAGCAAGCTGGCCAGAGGCGAAGCGCCTTGCAAGTTTGGACGAGATGATGGGGGGGAAACCAGGGGCTCAATTGGGCCCCGGGTTGCAGGGCACGGTTATTCTGAACTGGACGGTGCCAGCAGTGACGTGGATAAACTTGACATCAAGCTCTGACGAAAAGACGAAGCCAGCAAAAGCCGTTCTTCAGTCCATCCTCGACAGCCACAAATCTGTGAACTACGGAACTGGAATTCCGGCGTTGCACTCGACATGGGGGGATGGCAGCGAGTTCGAGGAGTGGGAGCTCGCTGCTTTTCGGGCTGCGGTCACAAAGTCCCTCTGGGTTTCGGTGAAGCTTGAGGAAGGAGATGTGGCTCTGTCAGCAGATATGGGAGCCTATTGAAGTTCCAGCAGTGTGGCCAGGTCGCGTGTAGTGTTGTCAGGAAAGGTGGGTATCCGCCGGAAACCGAAAATCTCCAGCATTTCGGTATTAACAGATTCTCAGAAGATGTCATCAGGTTGTTGTCGTGGACAACTGGCATTATGCGCACGGAAGGCAGGGCTTTGGCAGCTGTGCAGAGATTTCGATGTCTCAGTCAAGTTGCTGCGTTCAATGCTTCGAGAAGACTCGCAGGCTTCCCTACGAAGGGCCGCGGAGACATGCTGCTTTGATCAGTGACCGCTTCCCCCGACAAGTGCCGCAACAGCAAGAGGCGTGCGTGTGAACCGCAACTCGTAGAAACTATGAGTGCCCACGGGCTTAGTACCAACACCAATACCGCCACTACCAATACCAGGACGAGGTGAGTCACATGAATTTGTGTGCGCTTGCCTCATATTGCCAGACCTGTGCTCAAGTGGATGAATGTGCTGCCATAGGAAAAGACGTTGGAAGATCATGTGGTACCATGATGGTGTAGTATGGCAAGTAGATCGCTTGAGCCAGGCAGATTTTGTTAGGACGGCATGTGCTCGGCCCCGAGCCCTTGTTGTCTTGTTGTTTTGTCTTCCAGGCCACACGGCTTCCTGCATCTAATTCATTGTAGGCTAGCAGATCTCGGCTGCATTTGGCACTCTCGACGTGGAGTGGCATTGCCGCAGTCAGGTGGCTGATGCGCCGACGAGGAAAATTTGTTGTTTTGGTAGCTCCTGCCGATTTGCAGCTCATGGCAGCAACTGCAAACCAATTTGCAGAACGGTGGTCATAGACATGGTGTGACTGCTATTGACAAATCCAACGATGTTGTTGTTTCTGGAGCTGGTCAGGACGACGAGGTTGATTTTGTCCCTTCTTCTTCTTATTCATCGACATTGTGGCCTTGGTTGTGACTCTGGTTGTTTGTGGATGTGTTTGTGGTTGTTGTTGCGGTCGATGATGGAGCTGGTGATGGCTGTGGCGATGGCGATGGTGATGGCGGTGTGATGATGCTGATGAAGCGCATGATGATACTGACGAGGAAGAAAGTGATGATGACGACATGTACTGGCGATGATGGTGATGAAGAAGAAAGAAGTTTCGGTTACCGTGATGATGAAGCATTGGTAACTGTTTTTATGTTGCTGCTGCCGCCGCTGCTGTTGCTGTTCCCACCGCCGTCGCTGTTGTCGTCCTCGTCGTCGTCGTTCTGCTTGCTCCAAGGTTCTCGCCAGCAGGTGTTCACGTGGCGCTGCCCTGAGTGTGAAGGGGCAGGCAAGGGGGTGCGGCTTCATCTTGTGCTCCCATTGAGACTTGCCAGCGCACTTGTCCTTCGAATAAAGCAGAATAACCTCAACTTGAAAAGTCGTCGGAGTGTTCGTTGATGCTTTGCATGACGCAGCGCTTTGCCGCTACAGCCTGAGCATAGGCCCGCGTAGCTGCGGCCCCCGAGATGACCAAAGACGCTGCCAGAAAACGGGCAGCTGCCGTGGCTGCCGGCGTGGCAGCCGTGCCCCTCGCGCACGAGCTGTTGGCTTTCACTTCCTCAAACCTGGCACCACGAGCCCGGTCACAGCCACAGCCCACACAGCATGGCTCTGTGCCCACGTCCAAGAGCACCAGCCGAGGGCTCTCAAGCACGGCAGGAGCTGCGACACTCACCGGTTTGGCGGCAATGATGGGCCATGGTGCGAAGAAGCGGGGTGGGAGTGGAACCACAAAAAGTATCAATGGCTTGACAGTGTGCTTGGGCCAGCCATCAGCTGTTCTGGAGAAGTCCACCGAGGCAGGCGACCCCGAGAAGGTTTTGGAGCAGTACATCAAGGACCTGGGCGGGAAGCGGGTCTTGCGAAAGTGGCTCATTGCAAACAATGGGATGGCCGCCACAAAAGCCATCCTTTCATTGCGTCAGTGGGCTTACTTGGAGCTTGGCTTGGACAATGCCTTCGAGTTTGTTGTCATGGCCACTCCAGAGGATCTGGAGGCGAATGCCGAGTTCATTCGCTTGGCAAATACCTATATCGAAGTTCCCGGGGGAAAGAACGTCAACAACTATGCCAATGTGGATTTGATCGTCGAGATCGCCAAGTCGCAGGGGGTAGATGCCGTTTGGCCTGGCTGGGGTCATGCGTCTGAGAATCCCGAATTGCCGATGCAGCTGAAGGAGCTGGGAATCACCTTTGTCGGGCCCACCTCGCCTGTCATGTCCGTGCTCGGGGACAAAATCGCAGCCAATATTCTAGCGCAGACGGCCGGTGTCCCATCGATTCCTTGGAGTGGTGACGGCTTGCAAGCCGACCTTGGCCCGGATGGCACCATTCCCAAGGAGATCTTCGACCAAGGAACCGTCTCCACAGTTGAGCAGGCAAAGGAAGCAGTGAAGCACATCGGCTTCCCGGTGATGATCAAGGCTTCGGAGGGAGGAGGGGGCAAAGGCATCCGAATGGTGCAGGAAGAGAAGGACCTCGAGAGCAGCTTCTTCCAGGTTCAAAACGAGGTGCCCGGATCTCCCATTTTTATGATGCAGCTTTGTCAGGGAGCTCGTCACATTGAGGTTCAGATTATGGGAGACGAGTACGGGAATGCAGTTGCCCTTAGCGGCCGCGACTGCTCTACCCAGAGGCGCTTCCAGAAGATCTTCGAGGAAGGACCACCGGTCGTCGTGCCCAGAGAAACCTTCCTCGAGATGGAGAGGGCAGCCCAGCGTCTCACGCAGAATATTGGGTACATTGGTGCTGGCAGCTTGGCCTATTATGGACAAGTCGGGAAAACTAGTAGGAACATCCACAAGCCACCTGCGCTAGAGAATCCCAAGATTCTCTCAGATGTAGTGGTTGTCTATGGTGGTTGAGGTTTGATGCATTGATCACTTTAACAATGTGGGCAAACCCTTGAAGCCATCATCTGTTCAACGTCCCATATGCCACTGATCCTGCCCAGGAACCGTGGAATACCTTTACAACACCAAAGAGAACAAGTTCTACTTTCTCGAATTGAATCCGCGCCTTCAAGTCGAACATCCAGTGACAGAGGAGCTGACACGTGTCAACTTGCCAGCCACGCAGATGCTTGTGTGCAGCGGCGTTCCCTTGGAAAAGGTTCCCCAAATCCGACGCTTCTACGGCAAGAGCGACACGGACAAAACATCTCCGATCAGCTTCTTGGAAGACTTGTATGTCTACCCGGACCGGCATGTCATCGCCTCTCGAATTACCGCGGAAAATCCCGATGATGGCTTCAAGCCCACAAGTGGCAGAATCGAGCGAATCAAATTCCAAAGTTCGGTTTCATGCTGGGGTTACTTCAGCATCGGTGCGAAAGGCGGAATTCACGAATACGCTGATTCGCAGTTTGGACACATTTTCGCGCACGGCGCAAACCGTGAAGAGGCGCGCAAGGCTCTGATGCTGTCCTTGAAGAACATTGAGGTCGTCGGCGAGATCCGCAATCCCGTAGAGTACCTTGTCGAGCTTCTTCAGCAGGAGGCCTTCGTTGACAACAGCATCGACACCTCCTGGCTGGATGGCCTGATCAAAGAGAAGTCGGTCACTTTGAGATATAACATCAACGACGTGGTGTTCTATGCTGCCGTCTTTCGGGCTGTCCAGAATTTGAAGGCCTTTGATGAGGAAGTGGAGGCCGCATTGGCAAAGAGCCAGCTTGGACCTCTTCGGGACATGTCCAAGATGAACACCTTCCCTGTTGAAATTACCTTTGAGGGTGTTAAATACCAGTTTTCAGTCTCTCGCTTGGGACCGTCGCTCCTCGAACTGAGCATTCAAAACCAGAAGTTCACGGCACAAGTCATGGCACAGCCTGACGGCACTTTCCTGGTTTCAGTGGGCAAGACGGTGATGCGCGTGATGGGCTCTGATGAAGCTCTTGGCCTCCGACTTCGGTTGGATGGCATTGGTACGATCATGCTTCCTACCGTGTACGATCCTTCCGAGCTCCGCTCGGAGTTCAACGGAAAGATCGTGAGATACCTGCAAGATGATGGCGGACAGGTGAAGGAGGGAGAGCCTTACGTGGAACTTGAGGCCATGAAAATGATCATGCCCATCAAGGCCACCGCCACTGGCAAGGTAAGTCATGTCCGGGGAGCTGGCAGCATTGTTTCCGCAGGCGAACTGCTGGGCAATCTCCAGCTTGATGATCCTTCAAAGGTGAAGAAAATTGTTCCCTTCGACGGTACTTTCGCGATTTCGGCGGATGGGACTGCGAAGGACGGTTCGCCAAGCCATAGATAGCTGCCTGTAGGCTTTACAGTAAAAGCGAGGGGGCGCCTGGGCAGGTTTCCCAGTAGGCCTGAATCCTCGGGAGGACCGCAGCTTGCAAGGGCAGTTGGAGATGGTGCTGGATGGTTTCACTTCGCAAGAAGAGCCGGCACTCATGGCCCAGAAGATGTTCTCCCAGCTCCCCGAGGCAGCGACGGTGTGAGCTCATTGCGTATCCGTAGTGCTGCAATGGCTCCTACTGTAAGCAGGGTGTGGAGCTAGAGGCCTCGTGGAGACGCCTCTGGCTCTGGGATCTCCAAACCTCCTATTCTCGTGTCCTTTTTTGAGCGTTGGCTGTGTCTCTTATGGGGTGCTTCTGCTACGGGTATCTTCTGCTTGTGCTGTCGTGGTTTGCCTTTTCCTCTGATTGGGTTGCGACGCCTCCGAGTGCAAACCAGAGAGCACCTAGCGTCTCCGCGAAAAGATTTCAGCAACATTCGGCCAGGCTGAATGCGACGATGTAGCGTCGGCTCTGGTGGAACGCTACTTGGCCGTGGAGGAAAAGTTCTCGCCGCTCATCAAGGAGAAGTTGACCAACGACCAGATCTATGCGGAACTTATCGCGCAGAACAAGGAGAGCTACTCGTTTTGCGTGAGTGCACGGCCTTGCTTTCGGATCAAAGCACGGCCAGCCAGGAGAACTTGCCTGCGGTTGCCTCACTGGCTCTTGCCCATGGCCAGCTCAGTACGCGCAGTGAACCTTGCCCGAGCAGAGTGTTTAGTTGTGCATAATTTATGGATCTTTGGTTCGCTGACTTGTGCTGGCAAGAGCCAAATCAGTCATTATGTCCAGATGCCTGTTGAAGACTTGTTGTGTGCCAAACTGTTCAACACGAATTCAAGGCCTAAGCTGTCTGCTTAAAGCCACTCGTGTTTCGTTGCTCCGCGTTGCAGCTACATGCAGCTCATGCTGCCTGCTTGCTCCTGGGTGTAGCACTGGGGGCGCGATTTGAATTCTCTACGTCTTGAAGACAGACGGAACCTGCAAGCCTCGCAGCTTTGTAGGTTCGGAAATGCTTGCGAGGCAGTGGTGCTGGCAGCACTGCGCAGCTTGCGCAAACTCAACCCTTCAGCGAACCTGATGCAGAAGACCCGTGGTGGCATTGGAGAGGGTCTCGTTCGAACCTGACATTGTCCTCTCCCCCTAGGATCGGGCGCTTGGCGGAGCTTGACAACACAGGCTTGAGATGGGAGCTTGGAGGGAGGCCTTAGCTTTTCGTGTCCATTCCCGCCCCATCCAGGTGGCTATGGCGAGGTGGTCCTGGTGGCGACTCCAAGCTGGCACGAAGAGTTCAGTTGTGCGAGATGTGTATGGACATTGAATGATTTTGATCAAGCCAGCAAACTTCGAAGAGCGCCACTATGTGGGTAGCCCTATCAGTCAAGCAGCTCAGGGAGACGACGATGGCGCTGTTGAGCTCCGAGCCATTTGAGGACAAAGCACCGTCTCGCAAAGTGTCTCCCCGGAACGCCTGAGATCAAAAATTGAGCGTTCCGGGATTGGAGGACAGAAGTGCGTCTTTGCGGGCTTTGCTGGACACCGACGGCCCTGACCTGAAGCCCATCTCTGGAATGGCCGCTAGCAAGGTGCATGCCGTGGGTGGTGAGTTGGCCTTGTGCGAGCGTTGGGATGTAGAGTCTGCGCAGATGGAGTCGGCACAGGCTGGGGCGGAACTTCTCTCCAACCTGCTCCTGGACGAATCCGCAAGGGTTGCCTGCCTGCACGTTTACAGGACTCAGCCAGTCAGTTTCGGATGGTTCTGGCCACGCAACAGAAGCTGAAGCAGCGAAGGTTCGCAAGAATGCTCTTGATGCATTGATAAGACGTTTGTACCGATCCTTCATCATCAAGGACGGTTGCAGCTTGAGCCGTGCATTGCTCGAGTCTTGCATCACCTCGCGTTCCAGGACGTCAACATCACGGATCAGGGGGCTGGAGACATGCGTTGCAACTTCAAATTCCAGTTCCCGGGCACGGCGGATGCGGATGCTTTCCGCGAGGCTCACATCAAGGCAGGATCACTCGTAGAGCGCCTGTTGCAAGAAGAGACTCTTGGACTCTTGGACTCTTGGCAGAGAGTTACAGTAAGACCAAAAAAGGCAGGAATCCCCGGGCTGCCCAGACGCAGGTGGTCACCGACTTCGCCGCTGCAAAGGAGGCTCTGAAAGAGGACATCTGCATGGAGAATGTCGATGGCAACATGAACACCATGAAGGCCAGAAGCCAGTTTAGTCCGTGTCCAGACCCCCTCGCATCGGGGTCCGGGGCCCGATCAGGTAATCGTGACTTCCCCTGGTGATACCGCTTTTGACGAGATGAGCTTGGAAATGGAGGGCCTCCTGAAGTCGAACGCGAATTTGCAATCCGCCGGCATCCGAGAGGCCAGGAAGATGCTGGCGAAAACTTGCCTGTGCTTAGACTTAGACTTTTCGCAGGTCGGCTTGGTGGTGTCCAACGTGCCGCATGCCTTGCGCTATGCATCCTTTATGGGCAACGATGGCTTTAAGGAAAACTTGGCCACCCGCACCCGGCCTGACAAGTTGGTATTCGGATGCTGTCAGAAATGCACATCCCTTGCCTCTGCAAGGTGACATGAAGCCATCCTTGCCGAATGTACTGGAAGTCTACCGCCTCGCCGAAGATTACAAGTTGGAGAAGGTGATGCCTCCTGTGGGCCGCAACTCGCAGGCGCGAGATCTGCCAAAGCATGACAAGCCATTTGATGAGCCACTGTACTGGCGGGTTTAGGGAAGCCAGCTGTGCATTCTTCATGCTGCTGCGAGAGCGTGTCATCTCTGCCGAAGGTGTACATTGGCACACCCGTTGATGCCGTGCCTTCAAGGACGAATCCGTCCACAATCTTTGCACGTGACCTGGCCTTGCATCTGTACAGCCTTGCATCTGTATACCTTATGCCAGCAGCCGTTGCAGCAGCAGCAGGACGAGGAGGAGGAGGAGGAGCAACAGCAGCAGTCCGGGCAACTACCGAGTAGAGCGAAGAGAGCCCTTAGCCCGTGAAGCCGGGCAGGGGAGCCAGTAATTTGTGTCACGCCGACCTGCTATCATGAGACCTCGCCTGGCTTGTCCGGTAAACCCGGTCATCGACATGCCTCCGAGTGTGAGTGGCGAAACCCCTTCGGACCTGCTTAGCGCGACCCGAAATTCACTCGGAGAAACAAAGGTGTCTTGCTCATAATGATGCGAGCAAGGCTGACATTCCAGAGGGCCCGCAAACAGCGTCCCGAAAACAGCTCCGCACCGATACACCGATACACCGTTGCACCCGTGAGCGCAAGGGCCTTCGGGTCTCTCCGAGGCATGATCAAGCACTCGATGAGGGATTTTCCCGAGAATGAGAAAGCATGGACGGATTCGTTGGAGAACCTCCTGCTCAATGCCGTGGATGAAGTGGAGCGCGCCCGGCTGAATCCCAAGATCGGATATGGTCCCAACAGCAATATCTTCGCTCACATCGTGGCTAATGTCGACGTCGAGCCCTCGGATGCCTATGCCAAGCTGGAGGGGTTCCTCAACCTCTTCGTTGCCAGGCACCAGAGCCGGCTGGGCAAGATGAAGGTCGACGAGATCGTGGTGAAGATTGGCATCGGAAGTGGGATGGAACGCACGAAGACGCTTCGGCTCACTGCAAGCTCGCTTACAGGAGAGTACTTGCGCACCAGCGGCGCGCTTGAGACCTACGACGCCATCACAGGCTCTCCGAAGGAATGGTTCGATATTAAGAGCGGTGAGAAGACGCAGCTGGCTTCCGCAAAAGCGAAGAGCCGCTTGCAGCTGCGGAGGTCGCTCGCCAGAAATGCCGGGTCGACCTATGCACCGGACTTCCTCGGCATGTTGAAGATCGAGCTGATCAAGAAATGGAACATGTACCAGGAGTCTGGAGGCTCCAGGAAGATGCCAAGTGCCATCTTCAAAAGCACCGAGTTGGTGCTCAGCGAGGATGGGGAGTTGAAAGAGGTGGACAGGGAGCCCGGTCAGCACAACATTGGCATGCTTGCGTGGTGCTGCACGCTGCAAAGCCCGGAGTATCCCGAAGGCCGTGAGATCGTGCTCATCGCTAACGATGTTACGCACAAGGCTGGCTCCTTTGGTGTGGACGAGGATGATCTTTTCCAAAAGGCTTCCGAATATGCCCGCCAGCGAGGTCTTCCCCGCATCCACATCGCATGCAATAGTGGAGCGCGTGTTGGCCTGGCAGAGGAGCTTAAGCCTTTCGTGAAGGCCAAATGGACCGATGATGATCCTTCCAAAGGGTTTGACTACTTGTATCTTGAAGAGAAGGATGCTACAAGCTTGCCGGAGGGGGCCGTAGAGACGCACACTGTCACTGTGGCGGGCCAGAAGCAGTACGTCATCGACTCCATCATCGGTGAGGGCTTGAAGTCAACACAGGGAGGTATCGGAGTCGAAAACCTGAGAGGTAGCGGGCTCATTGCAGGAGAGACGTCCAAGGCCTACAACGAGGTCTTTACACTGTCCTATGTCACGGGCCGCTCAGTTGGTATCGGTGCCTACCTAAACAGGCTAGGGCAGCGAGTTATCCAGATGGTCAATGGGCCAATGATTCTCACAGGCTCGCGCATGTGTAACAAGCTTCCAAGCCCATGTGTTTCAGTTCTTTCTTGCTGAGGTTATGCATGTTTTTTCTCTAGGTATGGCGGTGGAGGTGTTGGTCGTTGTAAGTATGTAGGTAACGAAGTCTAGATATCTAAGCAAGTAAGTAAGTAAGTAAGTAAGTAAGTAAGTAATTAATCAAGTAAGTAAGTAACTAAGTATGTAATATATAAGCAAGCAAGGAATGGAGCAAGTAAGTAAGTAAGGACGTAGCCGTTTATGTATGCATGATGCATGCATGCATGCATGCATCTATGTATGTATGTATGTATGGTCTCATGTGTGTTCGTACTTGTACACGCAGCATGGACCTCCTCTCCACTCGCTCGTGTGCCAGCTATTTCTCACTCTCTCTCCCCCTCTCCGACCTGCGTCGATCGTTCCGGAGATAATGTCAATGTCACAAGTCGTGTCGCTCTCCCTTCTCTCTTGTACTTGCTCCGCGCTCACACGATGGATGCGTGTCTGGACCGGCGAAGGGATGGATGCATGGATGGATGCACGCATGGATGGATGGATGGATGCACGGATGGATGGATGGATGGACGGACGGACGGATGGATGGGTGGATGATGGATGCGATAGAGAGAACCTGGACAGGATACTGTTTCGTGCGCATCTGTGCGGTCTGAATAAAAAACTCCATGCAACGTAAGCAAGATACGGGTGTGTGTATGTGCGTGCAAAAAAAGATATATAAATATAAATATAAATATAAATATAAATATATATATATATATATATTTATTGTATGCATGCATGTATGTATGGTTCGCCGCTTTTGCAGGATTCTCTGCTCTGAACAAGCTCCTGGGCAAGAACGTTTACACCTCGCAAGATCAGCTCGGTGGACCTCAAGTCATGGTCCCCAATGGTGTGACGCACCAGGTGGGACTGCAATCAGCATCATGCTGTTATAGTCAATAGTCTATTGAGGGAGTTGAGGTGAGCTCAAAGTTGGCGAGGAGATTCACATGCTCGCCACATCCAGCATTTCTGTTTGACCAGGTCGTGTCGGATGACACAGAAGGGGTCGCCGCAATCCTTGACTGGTTGCGACTTGACTCAACTTGACTCAAGCCTCAAGTGATCCTGACATATCCTGACAGATGCCAGAACATATGACATGAATGGGTTGCCCTCGAAGCAGAACTGAAAGAAGGTCCTTTGTGCCCAAAGTGGCCTCGGCCAACCCGCCGCTCCTGGACCCTGTGGATCCGGTCTCGCGCGATGTCACCTTTGTTCCCTCCAAGACGCCCTACGACCCACGACACATGCTGGAAGGTCTGCCTGGCGAAGACTTGACTGGTCATGCGTCAAGCAAGTTAGGTTAGATTGATGCTGGGCACTGGCTGTTTGTCACATGATCTCGGGACCCCGCCCTCGGATGCATGCCAGGTGTAACTACACCAGAGGGCAGCAAGCTCACAGGATTCTTCGATGCGGGCACGTTTAGGGAGCTCCTTGGCAGAACAACCATCGGGCAGTGAACAGTGCCACTCGCTGGCAAGTCTATGCCTGAAGGTACTTGGCTGGCTGGGGGCGAAGCGTCATCGTGGGCAGGGGCAAGCTCGGCGGCATTCCCATGGGCGTCATTGCAGTGGAGACACGAGCCGCGGCTGATGGTTAGAGCGTCGACAGATTTTGTTTAAGCTGTGGGAAAGAATGAACGTTCCTGCTGTGGTCAGGCAACGTGGACCGCCGGATCCCGGCGGATCCCGCTAACCCCGCCAGCCAAGAAGTTGTCGAGCCACAGGCGGGTCAAGTATGGTTTCCAGACAGTGCTTTCAAGACAGCAACAGCTATCCGCGACTTCAACCGCGGGGAGAACCTTCCCTTGATCATCTTTGCGAATTGGCGTGGCTTCTCCGGTGGCACCCGCGATATGTATCAGGAAGTATTAAAGTTTGGGGCGCAGATCGTGGATGCGCTCGTTGAGTACAAGAGCCCGGTTTTTGTGTACATTCCTCCAGGGGGAGAGCTGCGTGGCGGATCGTGGGTCGTCATCGACCCGACCATCAATCCGGAGCAGATGGAATTTGAGCTGCAAGCAGGTTTTGTTCAGAAAGTGATGCTACAGATACAGTCCAATGCTTCCGAGGAGATGTATGCCGATGTTGATTCTCGAGGCGGCATTCTTGAGCCACCTGGAATCGTGGAGGCCAGGCACTTCGGGACAAGAATGGGAGAAGCCATACCAACTAAACGACCGACCAGCGGTGAAGGTGAAATTCCGCGCAGCGCAGCAGAAGGACCGAGGGCATCGGACGAGTTCACAAAACGGGTCGGGCAAGGAATCTTTGCATGCAGGAGCTGATGCATCGACTAGATCCCGAGCTTCGGAAGTATGATGCATTACTTGAGGCCGGTGTCGACGGTCGCTGTTGCAGCGAGATCGAAGCCTCGCCTCTGCGCCAGGAGTCTTCATCCTCGGAGGTCGGCAGTGCAGCACAAGACATCGAGGCGCAGATCAAAGCCCGCGAGGACCGCGCGAAGCCGGGAAAGCCAGGCTGATGCAATCGGACCGGGACTGGAGCTGTGATGGTCAGGACAAGCTTCAGCCCCTCTACACTCAGATCGCTTGCGAGTTTGCCGACCTGCACGATCGCACCGGGCGCATGGAAGCCAAAGGTGTGATTCGCAAGGCCTACGGAAGCATAGCATGCTTTGATCCGTCGGTGGCTCTTCGTTGATCCTTAACAATGAAACAAACAGCTGCCGTGTCGAGGGCAGCGTCCGCAAACAGCTGCCGTGTTTGTCTGCTGCCGGGGGGCCATCCCGAGACCCTGCTTCAGGGACTGGAATGGCGGCGTTCCCGGGAGTTCTTCTACTGGAGGGTCAGATGCCGGTTGCTGCTGAAGGACCTTTCCCGGGTCTTCGCAGTTTTGGTCCTTTGGTGGTTCGGCCTTCGAACTACGGTTCATGCAGGTTCCCCCGCAATCCCTGATTCACGAGCCACCGGAGGAAGTGGAGCACCGAATCCGCGAAGCCGATGCAGACCTGTCCTCCAAGGACTCTCGATCCGAGTCAGCTGTTTGGATTCGGTTTCGGGATCCGCTTGAAAGGCGCTAGAAATGCCATGATCCCTCCTGAACAATTCTAGCCGGTCGTTCTCTCGGCAGGAGGCTCAGGAGCTTATGTCCTCGTGGCTTTCCGAGGCCACAGCGCCAGCAGTGGTGTGGTATCGGGATCGGGATCGGGGTGCAGGTTCTAGTCAACCATGTGGGCGCCGTGAAATCTCAGTGGTAGCGAATTCCAGCGAATCCAGTGTGCATTCTGCCCGCCACACGGGTTGGGAAGCAATGACTGAAGCCAGGGCACGCAGAGGTAAGCCCAGCTGGCAGCCATTGCAGGCTGGCGCGGACCAGGAGGATGAGAAAGCCGTAAGCTTCTTGGAGGGCGATCCCTTCGCCTCCCAGTGGCAACGAATTCGGACGTGGCAGGATTTGTGTCATTCATGTGCTGGTTGCATGCATTCATGCATGCATGTATCTGTGTATGTATGTAGGTAGGTATGTATGTAGGTTAGTATGTGTGCTGGTAGGTATGCATCTAGGTGTGTATACGCATATGCATGTGTATGTATATGTATGTATGTGGGTAGGTAGGTAGGTAGGTAGGCAGGCAGGCAGGCAGGCAGGCAGGCAGGTGGGTAGGTATGTATGTATGTAGGTAGGTATATATCTAGGTGTGTATGTGTGTGTGTGTATGTGTACGTGTGTATGTTTGTATATGTGTATTGTATGTGTATACCTGTATATGTGTACATGTGTAGGTATGTGCATGTGTATGTGTCTCTGTATCTGCATCTGTATGTGAATGTCAAGGTGTTTGTGTGTATGTGTGCAAGTATAGGGCTACCGTTATAGGTATAGCCTTACGTATGGTATAAATACAGGTGCACAGTGAGGTCCTCAACGGGTCAGTTTGTGCGGGCTTTGCGGCTTCCATGGTTCTTGCCGAGTGAAACTTCTGTGGCTCCCCAGTCCGGGCATGATTTAACGACCCTAATATAGTACCCTATATAGTAGGATCCCGATTATAAGGAGCCCAAATAAAGTACTTGCAGCTTTTTTCGGGCAGTCTCCGTCGGCTGGGGTTGGGTTCATAATGGAGTTGGAAGGAGGGGGAAGTGTTTGAAAGGAAGGCTGACCAAAGGATGCCAGGAGAACACGACGAGAGAGAAACGGCAAACAAAGCACTCTGAGGTCCAGCTGCAGGTGAAATTTGCCCACGAGTGAGGAGGTCTTAATGCGAATGCCGGAACGGGACAGGTCGCGGCAAGTACGGGACAGAGCAAGAGCTCCATATGCGTCGAGTCGTTGCTTGAACCCGAAGCCCAGAAACCCGCTAAATTGGCCGGCAAGCTGTTAATCTCATCCGGCGAGTCCGAGTCGCAGAGCGTAAACCTCACAGACGCCCGCATCGTCAACTAGGAAAGTTGCAAACAATTGTACAAGTGCTTCACCTGTACGACAAACACTGAGTGAGGCTGGCAAAGTCGAAGAGCTGAGAGTGGCCGCCACCAAGCGACAGATCCAGGCGCCGTCTGCAACAAACACTCTGAACTCGGGCTTTTGGAGCTTCGTTAGCACACGAGATTGTTTTGCGTAACCTGACTCACTGATCAGCGACCCCCTCGGTGCTTCACGCTGCGGTCAGGCTCTTCTTGAAAAGCTTCCGGAGAGCGAGCGGAGCTCTCTGTTGCGTCCGGGCCGCACCGACAACAGCGCATGTAAAGCGACCTAAAAAAGGAAGTACCCTTCCTTACGTTGCAATATCGTCAAACTCAGCTATGCTCTGAGAGCATCCCACTAAGTCGCTGGCTGATTTTACATCTTCTTCCTTACATTGCCACAGACAGGTGAAGTATATGATTTTCCAGTCAATTCTCAACGCACCTGGGCTGCGATATGCTCGTATGTTGCTGGCCTGATGAGACTGGGCGCACCACACGGTCTTGAACCGCGAGCTGCGACAACTGAGGTCGTTGTGCCACTGAGGTCTGACGGAATCCGGTTCCATAGTAGGTCAGAATGTAAGCAGGGCCTTTAGCCGTGCTTCTTTTGTGCCGCAGCTAGCGCTCAAAACAGAGAATGTCTCGAGCGCCTTTGATTCAATCCTGACGTGCTTTGCCTGCTACTGGCAGCGCGGCTCCCACATTTAAGCTTTTTTCCATAGGTGTGCAAAAAATTCGGAGCACCCGAGGGGTTCCTGCGCATGACATCCCCTGCTCCATGGAAAATTGCTTTTTCAACTAACTCCTGGCACAAGTTTCAAATCACGATGCTCATGCGCGGTGTTGGATGTTAGGGAACGTAACGAGGAATCTGCCAGAAGTGTCTGCGAAGCCTGCCAAAAAGCTGTCTCATGTGCAGTCTGTTCGGTTCGCTGCCTGGGGAGATCAGTTAGCTTTGCAGCCAAAGTCCCACGAGCTCCGTAAAATACAGTATAATATAGTTAAAGTTTACCGTATAAGATGGTATCATATAGTCATATAGTATCACATAGTACCATATAGTGCAAGATTGTGTAATATAGCATAACATAGTACGCGGTAGTACCATGTAGCACAAGATAGTACGATATAGAAGAAAGACAATGTAGCATAATACAGTATAGTACAGTCTTTATGCAGTCGCATGTGACACAAGATAACATAATCTAGTATCCGCTCGTATAGTATCTGACTCAACTCTGAGGTGGTTCAGCGCTGCTCCAAGGCTCGACTTCTTGTGGCTGAGTCCGAGGATTGGCGCCACGGACTTTGCCATTTTTTCTATATCATAATACAATATGGGGGTTTCCGAAAATAGGGGACCCGAATATAGCACCCTAAAATAGTAGGATCCTTATTATAAGGACCCGAAAACAAGGTACCCATTATTTCGGAAACTCCCATATTATGCTATATTGTTCTATCTATATTACCTACCTTGGAACTGCAAGGTTGAGGGTTCGGATGTGCGGAGGCTTTCGAATCTATCGTGGCTGCCTTGGCATGCTTTTTCCCTTGCCGCTTCTGCGCAAGTAAGTCCCCACAGACAGCTTTCACCCCAACATTCCAGTGTCTATGGTTGGGAGGACAAGTGGACAGAAGTTGGCAGAGGCCTGGTCTTGTATGCAGCTCGGCTTCAGTCATTGCAAAAGGAGATTCTCGGCTGATCTTTGTCAGAGCTGGGCCGTCACAGGTATCCTTCTCCAAAGGCGCCGCTTCAGAGGCATCCGGCTATCCTGTTCCGAAAGAGTTTTGGCCTATACAGCGTGGTGTATAGCATATAGCATTTCCCGATGGCCGACAGGCAGGCGCTGACAGTGCGGGGCTCGAACGAGCTGGAGTTTTGAGGTGCTGCTTTTGGTCCAGTTTGGGCTTTGTGGAGGGCTTCCTAATTTCTGCGTAAACCTTTCTGGTAGCAACTAGACAGTGTTTAGCCAGCCTGCTTGAGTTGTGTACTCTGTTCTTTGTCCATGCTCATTCGTTGGACCATTCGGCATCCGACATTACCTGGGAGCCCTCTTCCGATCCTGCATCTGCAGCATTTTTAGTTCCGCATGAGTTTCGCCTCACTCTGATGCTGCAGCGAGCACCTTGAATTATGGCGGATTGAGCATCGTGGGCTGGGTTGTTGCTGGAGCTTGCATGCTGGAGTCCTGGCTGTACGGTCTGAAAACTGTCAGAACGGCTGTCTTTTGTCATGTCGTGAAGCACTGTCAGGGTTCTCGCGGTTCCATTCGATTCGGTTAGGTTCGAGTGAACCGGTTGGAACCGGTTGAGCGGTTCATGCGGTTCGGTTCGCCCGCGGTTCGGTTCG